CTTTTTGATTCTGGGCATCATGTTTCTATTAAGTGCATCTGGAATGCCAGTAAGTCACCACTCTGTCCATGTGTTAACTGAAAGTTTATTGGGTAGGAATGTCATTGTTTAGTTTCAGGACAATTCGAACTTATTTATGTGGATTGTGTCAAAATACTGAGGTTTCTTTTCGTGCTTTGCTTGAGTTGGGCTTTGTATGTATGGAGATCCCATGGCCTGGATGTGGTTGGGGAACTCCTGGGAATTTCCGCTTTCTTCCTCTCTCCAGCTTTTTATAGCTACATAAGGTTCAGATCTATTAACAAACACTTGTATAATTACGCCCCTCTCTGTTTACAGACTCAGGATGAATTATCTTAATGGGAAAATATCTATCCTTTGGAGTAATTTTGATCAAGGCTTTTTAGTTTTTGTTTGCATATGGTTCATTTGCCCTTCTAAAAATCATGTTGATGTCTGTTTCATGAATCATCTACTGTGGATAAATTACAGTACTCAATAAGCCTCATTAAAAATTTCATCTTGACCTAAAAGTAGTTGGCATAAAGAAAATATGTGACCTATCCATATGCTTTCTCATGGAGCTAAATCAAAAGAAATAGTTGAGGGCCGGGGTTGTGGCTCAGTGGTAGAGCGCCTGCCTAGCATGCATGAGGCACTGCGTTTGATCCCCAGTACCACCTAAAAATAAACAAATAAAATAAAGGTATTGTGTCCATCCACAACTAAAAATATATATATATTAAAAAAAGAAATAGTTGGGTTTTAAGATTCTTAGGTGATACCCATAGGGGACTCCCTGGAAATGATCGACCAGGGCCTTGGCCACCAGCATGTTGGAAAAGTTCAGTTCAGCTCAGTTTGTTTTGAGCATCACAGTCAGAATACACTTGTATTCATAAATTCAACAGTCACAGAACCACGATATGCAAGGTGAGACTATTTATGGGAAAATTTTTCAATATGTTACTGAATTTCAATTTTATTAAAATAGACGTGACTCTCATTTGGATTTTTCAGCCCTGTGGAAGACAGCCATACACCCTCTGAATCAGAAGGTCAATTCCATCCTTCTCTGTTATACTGGGAAAAATTGACTGTGTTCCTCCAGTAATATAAACATGTAGAAGACTTGACTTTTAGTCCACTTGGGTCAAGAAGCAACGAATTATTTCCCCAGTGTTTCCTCCCTCTGAATAGCTAAAAATGCTTAATGATGGGAGGCAGTGTTTTAATTAAGTACACCCTTTTGAGTCAGACTAAATGTGTTTGAATCGGGACTCCCAACATTTACCAGCTATGTTACTTAACCTCTTGGTGACTCAGTTTCTTTGTGTTAGAATAAAGCTAATAATTATTTCCACTTCACAGAGCTACTGCAAGAAAATAAATGAGAAAGGTAGCCTACATGAAATAGATTGGGCACTGTGCCCAACATAATTATAGTAAGAGCTTAATAATTCATAGCTATTATTATCATTATCATCATCAACTAATATTTCTTTGCCCACGCAAAAAGCAACGCTTCCTGTATACTGAAACATAAATTTGAGAGTGTATCTATGAGATCTTCTTATCATCTATCCAGTATGTGAAGTTGGGCGTATTTTTAGAGGTACCCATTCCAATAAAGACACAGGCTCAGTTTGGAGATCATTACATTCTTGGGGCACCTTGTTTGTGAGTTAGGAACACAGAGACTCAGGGTCCTTGCTCCTACATGGATGGAATAACTATCATTCAAGAAGGGGATGGAGGTTTTTCTTTAGCGTAGCTTCTGCATAAACAGGCAAGACTCAGACGACATCTACATGGAGACTGCAAAGGAATGGCAAATGAGACTGTTCTGAAGTCAAGTCAGTTACCATTAGGACAAGCAAGATAAATCCGACCCAGATTTAAAGTGGTATTTTGAGTCTCTTACCTCTTCTGTCCTCTGGAGAGATGAAGAACAGCTGGTCGGTATCCTCTGTATAATAACCCTTCAAATAGAAGACTGAGTTTGCCTTTAGGTACTTTTCCTCTCCAGACTAAACAACTCCAAGTCCTCTAACCTTCCCTCATAGATTCTATTTTCTGTCTCTTTAATCACTTAGGTTCTCCTTTGGAACCTTTCCAGTGTCTCACATCTTCCTTAAAACAAGGAACCTCAAAAGAGACACACCACCTCATAAGATTCTGTCTGCTACCAAATTCTTTATGRCAGGATAGGGAGCAGTGGGGTATTTCCCTTCCATGTCACCAGTGTGAACACCCTAGTGTTGGGTTGCCTGTTTCTTATCAATATGCGATGCAATTYCCATTTCATGCATGATCTTCCACAATCCCCATGATCCTCACCACTTTGTCTGTTTTTTTTTTTTGAATGTAGATATTAAGCGTCATTTGAGCCCGTCCTGCTGATTATCACCCCCGAGGATACTACTTTGTAATCAGCCATCATGCTGAATTCTAAACTGTCTTTAATGAACCGTTCCTTAATGTGTTGAAGCCACTTTGGATTCTCTTAACACATTAGCAGTTCCAACTTAAATTCCTGTTGTTCGTCGTAGAGTCTGGGTGTGCATGRAGCAATTTCAAGTATTATTTAAACCAGACCCAGGATGAAATCTTAGAGTACATTTTAAGCACTACTTTGTTTACTGAGCCATTGATTTCTTTTCCAGGCAGCAGTGAAGCCTGGGTAGGGAAAAGACAGACCCAATCCTATCTTTCTGACCTGCTGATGAGAATGACATATGCTTTTTAAAGCCTTCCTGAAGCTAAGATATTACGCAGATGTGGTTAGATTTTTTTAATTCCCAGCAATACACACACTAAAGTGATATTAAGCAACAAAGATGGAGTGGGAGGGCAGGATATTTATTTACATTATACTTAAAGCCCCTGATTTACTTTAAAAGGTACTGATTTACACATCATAAATTACACACTGGATTGAAAGAATAAAGAAGCAACAGCATTAGGAAATCATCAGTGGAAAAGGCTCTCAGAAAGGAAGAAAAGGAGCACTTCTGGAATTATTTAAAAAATTATTTAATTTGAACATGGTTCCCATAAAACTTATCAAATACCGATTTGCCACATAAAAGGATGCTCATGAATCTGCTTAGAACTTCCACCCCATGTCAGGAGAGCTGGAAAAGGGGAGGGAGGAGGAGCTAGCATTCATTTTAATATGTGTAAGCCAGATACTTTGTATTGGCATCATGATACATCTGGCTTTTTCTGAAGTCATCAGCCTCTAACTTGCCTTGACCCAGGAATTGCAGTCTTCTGGGGACTGGCTGGCAAAGCTTGTCTCCCTGGACATGCATAGAGTTCTCCTCAATTCCACGAGGTGGTGTTGGTTGCAGTACACAACCTCCTTGAGATAGACTTTATCCTGAGGTTTTGTTTCCTTCCAGTACTTCTAAAGGAGGCATGCCACAGCCTGGCACTCCTGCCTGTTTCCGGTTTCCTCTTGCACTGGCCTGAATGAAGCAACTGGAGGTGGTAGTTCCAGGACTGGCAATTATGATGAGTATTTACCGAGTGCTCTTGGGATGCTTCTCAGAATGGGCAGATTTCCAGCCTGGGCTTGACATGGGCTGGCCTCTCCTAGGCTCTAATTACCCATTCCAGTGGCAGTAATGGTACTGGGAATTGAAGCCTTCCCAGGCCTCCTCCATTTTAATTAATTGCTTTGAATTCCACCAGATCTGTCCATTGCAAAGTTCATTTACTTTTAGGGGTTGCTAGATGCCTAGGGGAAAAAAAAATAGCTTAGAGACACAGGGGCAGGGTGGAAACCCGGCAAGATTTTGGTGCAAACCCCAAGGAGAGGGGAGGGTGTGTACCTGTCCATGCAAGTATGCAAGTCCCCCGGAAGGACTCACAGGGCTGCAGTGAGTTTATTTGTGCCATTTAACCCCAGGTGCTCTGGGTACCTCCAGCTCAGCTTCCCCTGGGAGCTCCAACTTGGAGCCCTCCCCAAGCCAGGTGAAAATGTGTTTTGAGCAGAAGTTCCTTAATGGTTTGAGGTTTGGCACAGCCATGCTCTTACTTTTCAACAAATGTTAGAAGTGTAAAAATGGAATAAATTTACTACTGAAGTTTTGAAAAAGCAATGAAAAGCGACTCCCCCCTCCCCCCGCCGCCCCCAAACCCCTCTCCTACTTTTAAGAAAAGCAAACACTCTTTTCCTGTCTTATTTGTATTACCATTAATTTAAGACAGGAAGCCCTCAGTGGGTGTGATGTAAACAATTGGGCCTCGTGGGTCGGGCTTCCTCATCAGTTTGCAGCTGGAGAGATGGTGGTGCAGCCCAAGCGCCTTCGGGCCTCTCTAGGGGTTGACTTGCTGACTGAACCCGCTGAAGGTGGGAGGGGCAGGCGAGCAGGCGAAGGTATAAAGGAAATGCTTGAGTCGTGCAGTCACGGGCAATTGTAATTCAGGGGTGGTAAATTTGGTTACTCCTGCAGAAAGGATCTGACTGGTGATTTCTGGAAAGTTCCCTGACATCCCACCCTGTGTGATAGTTGTGATTTTAGTACACTCCCCCCCCCMAAAAAAAAACCCATGCTTCTGCTGATTATGAAACTGAGTGGTTATGAAATGAATGATGTTAGGGAGGTGGAGCCTCTTTGAGGGTGGCTCTGAAAGAGCTGGGTGAGGGTATCGGGGTACCCACCGGGAGGGCGTTTTCTCCTTCAATCCTGCTCCCAGTTTGCAGCAGGAAGCTCCCGAGCACTGGACATAAACAAAATCGTCTAAGAAACCCCCCAACTCCTTGCCGTCCTTCCCGGGGCGGTTTCCTTTTCCCTGCGAGAGGAGGGGAGTGTCGGGGAAGGGATTCTGGAATGCTGTGGAGTTTTGACAAGTGAGCCCGGGAGTGCCGAGCCGCGTTAGGATTGCATTACAGTCTTTTCATAACCTCCTCAACCGGGGCCCGAGGCGGGAGGGAGGGCGGGCGGGGGTCCTCCCACAGATCTGTAGCCAGGCGAGGGGAGCGTTCGGGAAGTCCTGCACGGATCCTGCTCCAGGACTGCCCGCCGCCCCGCCGTCGGGACCTCGGGAGGGCGGCGGCCCGGGGCGGGGAACCGGCCTCTCGCCCGCCCCTCCCTCCCGACGGCCAGCAGGTGATTAGGCTAATGACCGGCCCCTGGGGGTGGCTCCACCCGGCCCCTACGGATGACCCGAGGCCAGCGGCTCTGGACGCAGTCTCCGAGGAAGCCTCCAGAGGTGACTTCAGAACTGGAGGTAGGAATCTGCCTGGAAACCCCTCCCGCTCACCGATCTGATCCGGGCTGCGGTGCCCACGGAGGCTGGGTCCCTCAGCCTGGGAACTGAGCCACCGGAGGCACGAGACCGAGCAGCCGTGCACGCTCGCCTGCTCCCAGGTCGCCGGCGTGTTTGGTTTTCCACCTGGGGATTTGCGTGTTGAGAGGTGGTTTGTGTTCCTCGGGAGGAGTGATGTGGAGCTCGTTTGTCAATTACTGGACGGAAGGAGGCGCCCTGTGTGTGTGTGTGTGTGTGTGTGTGTGTGATGGGCAGGGAGGGGGCGCGCGCCAGGAGGAACCCCGAGGGGCTCCCGAGCCACAGTCCTCTCCTACACCTTTTGTGAGAGTGCTGGGGGGCGGTGAGGAGCTTGGCAGCCCAGGCACCTGTCCTTATCGCTTGCTTCTCACTTTAGCTAGCAGGCCAGCAAATCTGGGGCCGAACAAAGCTGTGTTCTCTATGGCAGGGAGCTGTGTTTATGACCCCACCAGAGGTCACAGTCTCCTTTGGGACAGATCTTTGCCCCAAACTACTGAACATCCTGCTTGGACCACAGCCCCGCCCACTAATTCACGAAACGTTTTGATTAGAGTATCCACTAATGAAAAGATCTTTTAAAGATGAAAGATGTTTGGAAAGATCGTGGCATTTTCCATCATGTAGCTTCTCTCTACTAGAGTTTATAAATACTAGGAGTGAAATGAAGTCAGTTTTGTCTCATGACATGAAGGGAGGTAACTTAAGCTGTCATTCTGGGGGAAAAGATTATTTTGAATGTAAACAATAAATGCTTTTCATAAAAATAGGTCAAGCTGTTTGATATAAGGGGATGGCATAGACTCTAATATGGAAGTACCTTAAAATACACAAAATATAGCAGTACGGGTGTTTTTGCAAGTGTAAATTCACATTGCAGATGAATTTTTAAAATATAGTTAAAATTTTTAAAATATAGCAGAGAGCACGGTGGTACACACCTGTAATCCAGCTATTCAGGAGGCTGAGTCAGGAGTATTACAAGTTCAAAGCCAGCCCCAGCAACTTGTCTCCAAAAAAAAAAAAAAAGGCTGGCATGTAGCTCAGTGGTTAAGCACCCTGAGTTCAATGCACAGTACAAGATAGATAGATACATAGATAGATTGATAGATAAAGATGTAAGGCTTTCAGAGTCTCCAGTCAAACTAGGGCAGCTGTGGGATTCCAGGATGGCAGCGGGAGGTTCTGTCGAAAGAGGGGTTCTCAGATGGGCCACCACCTGAAGAAATTGAAACAGGACATAGAAGAGAAAGTGACAGAGAAAACCAACCTGGACTGAGGACCCGAGGCTCACTCCACTTGCTCCCAGGTTTGTGTTTTGAGGCTGCACAGCCAGGCATAACTGTCCAGGAGGTGCATTCAGCATCCTCCCCACCCCCGCTCCGGCCCCATCCAGGGTAAAAGGGAGAAGGCACAAAGCTGCAGAATTACTAAGCACTGCCTTTCAGTTTGCCTTCTTGCTTCCATAAATTACCCAATGCCGTGCCTGGCATGGAGTTGAGCTTCCTTTCAGCCTATTCCTGCTGATTCCATATGCTCCAGCAGGTCACATTTGGGAATTGTTTCCTTGAAGGGACCCCACTCCCCCCTGACTCCTGGGACCTCCAGTGTCGACTCTGCTCCATGGTGCTTAGCCAGTCGTCTTCATCAAGGCTTCTGTTTCCCAGGGCATTCATTACTCAGGCACCTGTGCTCTGCCTTCTAGAGAGTAGGCGCTCCAGGGTGCTGCTTGGGAATCTCTGAGTATTCTTACTCTCAATCTGAAACCCAATTCCTAGTCTGACCTTCTCTTCTTTCCCTCTTATATGTGTATCAAAAGGACACATATACATACTTTTAAAAGTGATATGTTTCTATAGGACTTATAACTACGGACCCCTCACCAACCCCAATATCTATGCCCCAGAAACAATCACTTTTCAAGTTTTTGTACATTTCTTAGTGCCAAATGTATCCTGTCCTCTGGTTCACCTCCTGTCCTCCGGTTCTACCCTGGATTTGCTGTCTGCACAGACACTCTCATGGGATGACCTTTCTGTATCATACTGGGGAGGCATTTTGTCCCTTTCTCAGGTGGCATCCCCTGTCTTCTAAACCTCACAACTTTCTTCTTATATTCACTTTCTGAAAAACACATCTTCCGGAAGGAAGGTCCTGACAAAACCACATGTGAAGTGATTTTTTGATATCCTCCAAGGTTAACGGACAGTTTGTAGGGGATATGGATTCTATATTGGGGATCCCTTTCCCTTTGAATTGGGGAAGCACTGCTCTTCCAGATTTAATACCGTTCAGATGTCTGATGTCATTCTAAGTCCTGAGGCTTTGAATGTATTTCTCTGAAGGTTTTTAGGATTTCCTCTTTGTCCCTTGTAGTATTCCTTTCTCTTTGTAATGAGACTTCACTGTATCTCGGTGGTACTCTTTTTTCATCCACATTACTGGGCTTCCAGTGGCTTTTCTCACTCTGGAAGCTCTGCCCTTTTGTTCTGAACAGTTTTCTAGAGTTTTAAAAACTAAAATTTCCATTCCTCTCTTCTGTACCACGTATTGATTGGAAGGAAACTCTTATGGACTGACTCCCTTTCTTTTTCTATTACATTTTTCTATCTCCTTTAAAAAATATTCTACTTCCAACTGTGCATGGTGGTCATGGTGGTCATGAGTGTAATCCCAGCTACTCAGGAGGCTGAGACAGCAAAAGGATTGCAAGTTCAAGGCCAGGCCAGCCTAGGCAATTCAGCTGTTTTTTTTACCTTTCCTCAACAAGACTCTGTCCCAAAATAATAGTCTAAAAAGGGTTGGGGACACAGCTTATTTGTAGTGGTAGAGCCTTTGCATAACATGAGTGAGGCCCTGGGTTCAATCCTCAGTATCACACACGTATAAAAAAAAAAAAGTACAGAAATACTTTCTGGGAAATCTCTTCATTTTATCTTCCAACCCATATATTCCTTTTTTATGTCTGCCATCAAATTTCTAATTCCCAAGAGCTCCTTAAAGATCTGTGATTTTCTTACAGCCTCCTGTTATTGTTTCATGGATGAAAAGCTGCTCAACTCTGCAGATCTCATTACAGCTTCTTTGAAGTATTTCTCTCCTCCCTGCATTGTTTCTGTTTCCTCTGATTTCCTCTTAGTTTTGTTTTTGTTTTTTAATCTCCTCCATGTAAAGACTTTCCTCACTTGTCTGATGATCCCTAACTGACTACTAAAACCCTAACTGTAATGTCTGAGAGGATGGAACTTGCACCCAGAAATAGCTCCCTTCCAAGAAGGCGACCCAGGAAAATGTCAGAATCCAGAACAATGCCTGGCACACAGTAACTTCCCAGGGACATTTGCAGAGTAATGGAATGACGTATGATCTTGCTAGGTCCCAGGTGGTGGTGCTTATTAAGAGCTCTGCAGGTGACTTGAATGCACAGCTAGTGCGGAGGACCTCTGCTGTAGAATTAGCTCGCTGGTGGTTTCACTGGAGGACTCTCTCATTAGGAGAGGATCTTGTATCTGGAGAAACTACCCAGGTAAAGAGAAATTTCAAGACACAGAAGAGTTGATTGGTTGTAGCATTCTGGAAGCCAGATGGAAAGAAGACTAGGAGTCTAGCCATTTGGTATGGAGACTTTCTCTTATCCTGCTGTATTTAGAGTGGTATGCCTTCTACAAAGTTGGTGTCCCCAATCCATAGCTGTCCTGACTCAGAGCAAACAGGTCACAGAATGCAATCCCTTACCAGGGATCAACAATTAAGAGAGGGATGTGGCGGTCTGATGGCTTCATATTTAGATCTTCAGCGTGTCCTCCTGCTTTGGGGTGGGTCCCCTGCTTCTTCAGTGCGTGGTGCTCACAATTCCAGAGCCTCTCTGGAGTTCTGGCTGTGAATCCCAGACTTCCCACACTGCTGGGCTGTTTGGGCTTTCTCTCATCTACAAAGTCAGTTATCACTAGTTTGTGTGCTTTCCAGCAGCCAAAATTTTGTTGCAATCGTTGTTTCTCTTGTTCTCTTTATTTTTGAGAGTTTAGTGCTTCTCCCTTCCCCAAGCTTTTTAAAAATCCTGTACTCTCCTTTTACTCCATCATGTTTACTGGCAAGAGTCTCCCTGCCTGGGACCCAGCTTTGACTTGGAACCCTCCTCTAAGTTCTTTCTTCAACATTTATACCCTGATACTGCAGGTGCCCACTTGGCATGACTATGCAAATAGGCCACCACCCCATACTGAGGGATTGCCCCCAGGGGTACAGTACAACTGAGCTGCGTCTCCAGCCCTTTTTATTTTTTAATTTTGAGATAGTCTTGCTAAATTTCCCAGGATGGCCTTGAATTTTCAATCCTCCTGCCTCAGCCTTCCAAGTAGCTGGGATTTCAAATATGGGCCACTGTGTCTGCCTAGACCATATTATACTTTGATCTCAGCCAATAGTGCTTAAAATTCCCCCAACAGGGTGGTTGTTGAGCATTCATATTGATGTGCCCGAGAGTCCTCCATTTGGTCATTATGCCGCTGCTTATGGATAAAGTATCAGGCAGAGGGCATTTGATCCTGTGGCTTATCAGGGCTCCATTTGTAAGAATAGCTGTCCAGCATGTTAACTTCTTTGAATTAGGGTCATGCTCGTTTCCCTCTTTGGACTTCACCAGCAGCCCCTTTGGTGGGTGGAGTGGATTTGAACTGGGAAGCATTGTTCTCTGAGATGATTAGCCCATTCCGGTCTGGTGCCTCCATGCCACATCCCAGACACAAGTGTAGGAAAGTGCCTGCYACCCAGTCCTGGCAGTGGGGTGTGAAGACCTCTAATCTGTTGGGGAGATTTTAGGGAAGGT